AAGGTACATGGAGATTCACTTCGTTCTTTTACATAAGCCATAATTGTTGTAAAACCAGTGTTATGTAGTAGTTTTGGAAGAAGCGACGATACTCTATTTAAGCAGAAAAGTTACATTTTTTTCTTGAATCTCAGCATGATCATCACTACATTCGCAACTTTTTTTTGAGATGTTTTTTATATGGGCTTTGAACAACCATGGCAATTTTACAATATGTTACAAGTCTCAAGTTCAACAAACATGGTGAAAATGAATGAAAGTCCTTTCTTCTACATCCTTAGATGGAAAGGTTAGTTACAATTTTGCAGATGTTGTTTTGAGTGTTTAGGTAAATTTATTATATTATGATTATTTAGGCTCAAAGTAGTAACATTAGGATAATCAGGTAAATATTGTTGCAAGAAAACTAATTAGGTCTGGCTTTTGATGTTAGATTATCCATATGCATTTAATATCCTTTTCTGTTTGTTTGATAGAAATGACAACCACCTTAACTACTTTATTAGTCAAATGATATTGGCCAAGTAAAGCTAAAACATTTTTCACTTATGTAATTACACTTCAAATGAATAATAATTACACATCTTTATGAAACAATGTCTGTTGTCCTACTATGTGATTAGCCATCTGGATCTAGAACTTAAAACACATCTCGTAGTTGAATCATATTGCTATGAAACATGATTAGTTGGAAACATATATAGGTATATAGTCTTACAAGTTGAGTTATGTAGACAAGTAGTACAAGGTGATTCTACAATAGCTTATTAGCTAAATTAAGAACTTGTTGTCATGTCGATGAGGAATTTTAGTAAATCTTTTTACTAAATTTATCTGTAGACACACAAAAGAAACTGAGTAAACATTATATATCATAGATACAACATTGTTTTCCCAAGAAGGAAAACTGAAGGCAGGAACGTTGAATGTATACATGTAATTAGATACACTCTTTGAGTAAATAAACTTATATTTTGTAGTTTGTCTTATTTTTGTGTGTACATAAGTGATGTCTTACTAAATTTGATTCTTGTAAGATCTGCATGTTCACCATTGAAGCTTTCACCAGATTACCTGATTAGCCCGACGTTGCATGATGACTTCGTGTGAGAATATTACTTATATTTTGTATTCTTGGTAAGTTGTGGTCCTTTATGATAACACCTCATAATTTGGTCATTTTAGTGATTATCCTAACTTTTTTATTATTTTAATTGAATTTGAGAAGACGGGCAAGGAATTTCATAACCAATAATAACTAATGCAATCTTTCTTTCTCTGGTACCATAATGTTGCTTCTTTGTTATCATTATAATTTGATTTCAATTTATTCCATTATCAATTGTTATTATTTTTTTAAGCCAAAAGAGAATATGTTTAATTATCATCGTACAATGAGTGAGATGGTAAACAGGCAACAATCTGCGTCGCTATGCCTTTTTGTATGGTAAGGCTAATTCTTTTAAAGACTACATCCGAAGATCGAGGGGATATAACATTACTATGCATGATCCGTTGTACTCTATTAAGAAGCTCTACCGCATCCGGCGCGAGGAAACCAAACGTATCAAATGCAAATGGTATGAACACGTGTTGATTTTCCATGCACGATTTCTCATGTTTGGTGACTTTGCCTGTAGCTGCTTTTAAAGTAGCATGTCCCGCTGTGAAACCCCCAGCCCTCAAGCACACGAGAGGGGATACTCCTGTAAGGTCCACACATGTGTGTTTTCCTCCGACCCATTCAAAAATCAAAATGTCAGCCGGTCTGAGGGTTAACCTTCCTTCCGTCGGGTCAGTCAAAAAATTAACAGGTGTCTCTTTCTTAGCGGAAACCCCGACATGCTTAAATATGTCAAATAAAACATCCCTAACTATATCGTGCATGTATTTGAACCCCGGGAGTTCTTTACAGTGAACTGCATGCTCTCCAAAAGAGTCCAAACATGCCTTGCGACACACCGGACATATCTCGTCAGCTGGGAATATGGGAATCATGAGTTGATATTTGAGGATAGTACGATACTCCACGGGAGACATATGTTGGACAAACCCATCTATAGGGATAACTATAAGACAATCTGGAGCATGTGGTGCACGTAGGCACTGGAAGACCGCTTTCTGCCGAGCCTTCAAGTCGAGATGCACTTCCATATCTTGGACAATTCTACGAAAAATGGCACTCGCCAGTGTATTCTGGGATTTAGGGGGGGGGGTGTCTTTAGTAGTAAACTGTTAAGGCCAAAATCTGGAAGCTTGTTACGAAGAGATGCCAAAGGCACAATCATAATCAGAATCCATACCATATATGTCGCTATCCCGTAAGATGTGGTCTTGCAATACCCAAGATTGGGCCCTTGAGGCAACAAAAGCATATGAGGTAGCCTCTACAGCCAAGTATAAGCCCAAACCTCCAAACCTAATGGGTAAGGAAGCAATTCGCCACTGTATATCGCCAAAGAAAGGGCCACCACAAACCACAATGTCCTCAATCGCCCTGCGCATTGTCAAAGAATATTGCCGCCTCCTCCATGTGAACGGGTTGGCACGTCCTCAGCCCAAAGAAAAGCTTAGCAGTACCCATACAATACCGAAGCAGAAGGAGCTCATTCTGGGGGTCAGACAATTGTGGAAGAAGGCACATCAAATTCACAGTGTTTTCGGTTCTCCTTATGGCTAAGCTGTGAATGAAACTAGCATCTCTACGAATAGCTCCCCCTAAAAGTTTCACCCCCAAGGAGGCCTCCCGATGCCAACCGGGAATAACCCCTCACATAACTTCCTACCATCACACGAGGGCCAAAAGAGCTCGGTTTTTTTGATATTCAGTTTAAGGCCTAATTTTGGGCCAATCACCGTAATGATGTCCAACGCTTTGGCTACCTCCTCCGAATCTCCGATAAGTGTGCCATCATCAAGGTACCATGCATGGAGAAGAAGCTTGCAATTGTCTCTAATATTATGTAAGAGCGGGTGCAACACAATGGCAAAGAGAAGTGGTCCCAAGGGGTCTCCTTGTTAAACCCCAGTAGTGGACCAAATATGTGTAGTGCCTAGATACAACCCCGCTGCTTGACCATATAGGAATTCTACCCATAAGGATATGTTGGATTAGGTGTCTAAGCCCATAACTATAATTGGTATGTACTTGACCCGAGAGTAGCATGATCCATTTGGGTTGCATATCACCAGAACAATTTGATAGGATGAACTTTTGAGAAGAGGTTATATATGATTTATTAATATATTATAAGTTCTAATATATTAATATGAAATCATATTATTTAACCAGTATTTATCAAGAATTAAGTTGGAATTATTTTGTGATAAAAAAAAAGACTAAGTAAATATATGGGGATTGATTATGTAAATCATTCATTCTTATAAAGTGGGCTTATGATCCATAGTTCTTTATGTTGGGCTAAACCCATGTGGTGACCCATGGATACTCCATGGAGGTTAAAACCCATGGAGCATAAGGAATGTGGAAACTCATGCACATTAGGGTTTGCATGGTGTAACCCTAGTTGTGTCACATTATAAAAGAAGCCTCTAAGCATGCAAAATTGGCCACTAGTGATCTTGGAGTTCATGAGCCGATTTTGGTGCTAGATATTCTTCTCTCAAAAGTCATTATTTTGTCCAAAGGTGTGTTGTGATTCCATTTGAGGCATTCATACTATTTGTGCTAAGCTCTTAAAGCTCCAAGACTAACAAGCTACAAGAAATGTATGTTATCTAACTAGATTTTGTAGTATATGTACTCCATAGTATACTAGTTAGGATGATGCCTTGGAAAAATGAAAGTTTGCATGTATAATAGAGAAAACATAGATCCAATGTATCTAGGGTTGCATGCATACCATAGGACATGTAATTAGTCAGACACAACTTGAGAAAACATTATCAATTTTGCATGTCCAGCTGAGAGATTTTCACTAATGTTTAGTACGACTTTAGTAACACCCGCTGGAAAGACCGGTGCTGTAAGAAATAACAACATTCATGATTTGCTTATTGTAGCGTCTTACTTTCATTCCTTCCTATTATAGTGTTGTACTTTCAAAATCTACCAAATTATACAAATTATGACAACCATGTTAGTCTTTCTCATTAAATTTAACATTTTCCTAGATGTAATTTTTTGGCACACTAGGCATTTACTTAAATGCTTAGGGTATTTTCATTTTTTTTCCTTATTAGGACATTGTACTTTCATAAATTCATTCAATTATAACATCATTATTTCAATTTTTTCCTTATTATAACATTATCACATTGTACTTTTATTTTCTTATTCGGACTTTGTATTTCGAAAATCCACTCAATTATAACATTATATTTCACTTTTTAAAAAATACCCAAATTATCCATATACGTTTGGACCGGACCTGGTAATTATCCATGCTCGTCGTCTATCTCGTTTATTAGCTATCAATTGAACTAATTTCACTCGACTATATTGTATCGCCATATGTATACATAATATGATAATCTCACAATATGTCTAAAACGCATATTGTGCAACGTCGCATATCTATATCCATAGGTGTTAAAGTAGAATTGCTAATCTTACTACTACTGACTACTGAGATTAACTTCAGATTTAACCTTTATCTCCGCTGCTTCTCGACCTGCTATTATCCAATAAGGGGGTGTTTGGATAGGGAAAAAAATGGCTGCTTATTGCTTATTGCTTATTCTCACCACAATAAGCTGAGTTGAAATGTTTGGATAGAAAGCTTAAAAAATTAGCTTATTGTGATAGGAATAAGCTAAATAAGCTGATTTTAATAAGCAAGGGGGGAATGTTTATTGCTTATTGCTTATTGTGGTAGGAATAAGCTAAATAAACTAATCCAAACAGTTTTTAAAAAACTGTTTATTCCCACCGCAATAAGCTAATAAGCTAAAAACATATTTATCCAAACGCGTATTCAACAATTTACTAGTTCCTTATAACCTTTTATATCATCTACAAGGAGCTTAACTCCATAATTTATTAGATAATTCCTCTCAAGACCTGCCCTATCAAGAACCATCCATCAATTGGATTTGATTTTGACACGTGTCCTAGATGCACCTGATCACCGCCCGATCTATTAGATCACACGCGTCCCCAACACAAACCGGCTACAGACGGTCAGGTAGGGCTACCCATCGGCACTTCCGGTCACTCTCCCCTCTCCGATTCCCGCTAGATACATCAACTCCGATCGAACACTGCCATTTTTTAGCTCTGGTTTCTCAGAATTAATTTGAAAGGTTAGCTGATTTGATTAGTCAGCAATTTTTTTTATTACATTTTAATTTTGCTAAATTTGTGTTAATCTTCATTGCCGTTTGCTTCAACTTATTGATCAATGCCTAAACCGTGCAAAAAACCAGATCTTTATCTGCTTGCTTTTCTTCTTTTTAAAAATTTGAATTCAAGCTCAAATTTCTTGTTTTGTTTTGATTAGAAGTAGTAGGGTTCGATGGTGTTTTTACTATCCCCTCTTTCAGTAACATACGAAAGCGTTAATTTTTTAGAGATTTGATCTAATTTTACGGTTTCCAATAAATGTGATGAAGTTCTTTGTAATTTTTTTTAATTAGCAAGTCTAAGTTGTTAAGTTGGAGCTTTTCTTTGCTTGTACACTTCCATGGGTGATAATTTTGCGGAAATTAGATGTTTATGCTTTCGTGTGTTTTAGCTGCTATGCTGTACATTAGGTTTTCTTCCGAATCAAATTAGGGTTTTTCTTTGTGGTATATGTTCCTCTGATCTTAAGAAATCCTTCTTTATTCTCTGCTGCTGGTATTGATCTAGTTCGTCTTCCTTGTTCTTGATTCCAGGTTTTGTATGAAGAACTACTGATGTTTTCCTCTGTTAATTCTTTTAATTTGTGAACTCTTCGAGTTCAGAGTCTGTTTTATATTTGGAATCTCTAATTAGGGACATCATTGAGGCCGGTGATTGTAAAATTCTTGGGTGGGTTGTAATTTATTCAAGGTGGAAAAAACATCAGCCTCTTTCTGGGGTATTGAACAGATCCAATTTCAATTACCTGTTAATAGTTGATCACACAACCAAAAGCACTGGCGCTGGATAACTGCTGCTGCGTAAAAGTAAACTATTTTATGGGGTGGGGGTGCAGTCTTTATGATTTCATATTTCCTCCTTGTATTCTATTTCTATGTATGAGGAATACATAATGGCAAGTGAGAAGCCAGATTTTTGTTTTGCATCTGAATACCATTTTAACAAGTTCAATAAATCTCTGTTTCAAGGTAGTCAGAGTTTAGAATCCTTAAGTGCTTGAAAAGATTACATACTTTTTTTTTTTTCTTTCTTCACAGAGGTGGGGATGCTGCCATCATGATGATGATGCATATAAAGAAGTAATTTGTGAATAAAAATGGATTGACAGATGAAGTACATGAAGCCACTGAGTCTGTACCAGAAGTTGCTGAAAACGCCTACTGTAGAAGGAGGGCGATTGCTTGGTTTAGATGTTGGTGATAAGTATGTTGGCCTCGCGGTTTCAGATTTTAACAATCAAGTTGCTTCACCTTTAAGGTAAGCTGTCAGCATGTTTCTCGTAAATGCTTCTTCTATATTGATTTTATGGTTATAACTTATAAAGTCAATTTATGTTTGTTACTTTGTTTGTAATAGAGTAGGTTGTTTTCATATATTGCAGTGTCCTGGTTAGGAAGAAAAGCAATATCGGTTTGATGGCTATTGATTTTGAATTTCTGGTTAGTTTGAACTTTGAACCCAACCAAAATGCTCTCTTCTATGTAATTTAGCTCCTTATTATAATCACAAGGAAGTAAGCTTTTTATTGTTATAAGGAGTACTGTTTTACTTTATTTGGGATCATCGAGTGAGTAAATGAGGGTTTATTTTATTCTTGTTTTTGTGTGCAGATATCAAAACTGTCTTTGTCGGCTTTTATCGTTGGATGCCCATATGATAGACAAAGAAACTGCCCAGAAGTAAGTTTATTTAGTATTTTTTAATCTAAAAAGTTTATTCACTTTAGAATTTATAACTGAATTTGTTCACTTGTGTTGTTAGGCTACCCAAGTGAAAGTATTTATTGACGACCTTTGTAGAACGGGAAAACTTGAAGGTGTTCCATATACATTTTGGGACGAGTGCTTCACATCAAAGGTATCCACATCCCTTATTTTTTATTGAACAATATATCTGTTACTGTATTTTTTTATCTCACAAATGTTGGCTTATTCTTGAAAATTTGAATTTTGTCACAATGACATTTGAGTTGGTAACAGAATGTGGAGCTATTGTTGGATCCATTGAAGTTCTCCACAGTGGAAGCGAAAACAATAAATGACAAATTTGCTGCTGTTGGAATACTGCAGGTATTCAAATTACGCCCTCTTGTTTTAAATTCATACAGTTGTTGAACAAGAGAATAAAACATGTATCATGTTTGATGTTATTCTTAAAGAATAGTAAAATGTGAAATGGGAATTCATTAGTCATTTATGGGTGTTTGGCAGGGATATCTGGATTATGTTAACAGGAATGTGGAGACAGAGCAAAACCAATAAACATCCCTCCTTGTTCTGGACCATCAATATGATGATTCAAATCCTACAATTTGGGTTGCATTTGAACTTTGAAATGTAATGTCAATAGAGTAGTTATATACACTACAAGAAACGGGGCCTATAGGGACGACATATGTCGTCTCTATAGGTTCAAAAGTCGTCCCTATAGCTCTCGTCACCATAGGCCCGTCGCGATCTTTTTAGTCGTCGCTAAAAATATCGTTGCAATTGGTAGCCTTTACAGACAACATGTCCTCCTATTTTGGTCCGTCGCTATAAGTTGTTGGTCTCCATAGATAAAGCTATAAAGACAATGTCGTCTCTATAGGTTCATCTATAAACACAACCTGTCGCCTCCATAGATGCAGTTATAAAGACAATATGTCGTGGTGGTAGATGCCCAAGTGTCGTCTCTGTAGATGCACCAATAGAAACGACACGTCGTCTCTATAGATGGACCTGTAGAGACGACATGTCGTCCCGATAGATGCAGCTGAAAAAAAAATACATTATGTTTGGGATAATATGCTACGGACTCTTTCATGGCTCGATCAAATCAACCAAAGCACCGAGCTTCAAGAACATTTATTCTAGATAATGTTTGGGATAATCGTTCATTATGGCTATTATAGCTCTGGCCTCTACATCCTGAAACATTAGATATCAGGGAATTCTAAAAATCAAAATGATATTTATGGGACCTGAAGCCGAATGTTTAGTGATATTTATGGGCTTCTACTTTTCTAGTAGTTGTTTCCTGTTACCAAAAGAAGGTCAGTGAAAAAACAATGAAGCTTAAGGCGCAATGTAGCAAACCAAAAGAAACCTGCATTGCTTCAATCTGCTTCGAAAGAGGTCTTGTTGACTCAGGAACTTGCATAACCAGCTTTTCGCATCTATGCTTACTTGCCTGATAAGAAATAAAACATACAAGACTAGTTTTCTAACAAAAAGAAGGAACAAAATGTGTACATAGTGCCTTATTTATAGAAACAAGGCTGTGAACATATACCTGATATCGTTTTGGGAGGTCATCAATTTCTATCCTTAACATATCTTCTCTATAAACTTCCTGCAAAGAGAAACTTTTTAGTTTATTAACTACATGTAAAAATTGCTTTTTTTTAAAAAAAAAAAATTTAGTATTAGAAATTTGGTAACATTTGGAGATACATAAAATTATACTAAAAAAGCCTCCTATTAATGTGGACCAAATTAACTAAATCTTCTCTATAAACTTCCTGCAAAGAGAAACTTTTTTGTTTATTAACTACATGTAAAAATTGCTTTTATAAAAAAAAAAAAAAAAAAATTTAGTATTAGAAACATTTGGAGATACATAAAATTATACTAAAAAAAGCCTCCTATTAATGTGGACCAAATTAACTAAATCTTCTCTATAAACTTCCTGCAAAGAGAAACTTTTTTGTTTATTAACTACATGTAAAAATTGCTTTTTTTTTTAAAAAAAAAAAAAAATTTAGTATTAGAAATTTGGTAACATTTGGAGATACATAAAGTTATACTAAAAAAGCCTCCTATTAATGTGGACCAAATTAACTAAAGTATTTCAAACAAAAACTTGTTAGCTCCTTTCTGCACAGAGTTTGTCTTAATTCTTCCAGAGTTTGAATTACCAAATTAATCTCAATTTCCATGTCAAGATTAAGAACAAAAATTGTGAATTCATGGTTATTTAGTAACAAAATGCACACGACATTCTTAATAAACCAAGAAAACACCAACCCAAAAAGACCATAAAAAAATTAAATGCAAGGTGTCACGATATATACAACAGGGTTGTATCCATTTCTAGCAAAACTGCAAAACGCTCAGCATAATCACATAATCTATACACGGAAAAAATGACACATCAAAATCATGTCTAGCATTATTACTAACTTGATTCATATCCATTTAAAGTTCAAAGCAAGTATTATTTATGTAATAATAATAAGACTCACTTGAATAATGTATCTATTTGTGTCTTCTAGTTTGAGTCTCTTTGAGCCTTTCCAGCATTAGCTTTTCATTACAGTAAAAGGCCAAATAATCCATACCAGTATCACCTTTCATAAACACATCATGATACTTTACCCTGAAAAAACAAAATAAGTAATTGACATGCAAACAAGAGTACTATTTAAATGACTCACAACACAATCATAGTTAGTGCATGAGTTAGTCCTTTTAGTTAGTTACTCAAGTTGTTACGTGTATCAGGTATGATAGTGTAGACAGTATATTGTTAGGATTTCATACAGACATTAAGAGTTTTTACTTAAATTATGATATGAGATTGGCTAAATTACAAAACACAAATTCTAAAATAGAACACTAAACCGTAACTCTTTCCTATCATTCAAACTGATAAACAGATAACAGAAAGACTACTACTTATCTATTTGAAAGATAATCATTCAATGTCAACAACCATGTCAAACCTAGCTATCAACCATAGATATGCACTTTTTTCAGTTGTGTATAAGTTCATATTCCAAAATTTCTTCTAATATCTACCAATTTCAATTACATTAACATGTTCTTAGCCACATTTTCAATATAAACTTATGCGATAGATATGTGAACTCAAACAAACTAAGATAGCACACTAATGTATCCAAAACAACATTGCAAGGCTTAGTAGTTATTACTTCATGAACTCCACCACTATTGTTAATGTTAATCACTCTATGAGCAGTTCCAGTGATAAAAACACTTGAAGGATCAAATCAACAACAAAAACATGAAGAAATCAGACAAGTATACATCATAAAATTAGGAGTCATACATGTTGAAGAAGATGAGAGCTGTTGGAGAGAAGCTGCAATCTCAGTTGAATGACCGTCGGAAGCAGTAGACTGAACCAGAGGTCGCCGGAAGAGAAGGAGTAGGGACCGGCGCTGAAGTTGTTATCTGAGGTAGCTGGCAAGAAAAAAAACCTGAAATTAAAAGAGATAGTAAGGTGAAGCGGAGTTGCGGTCTCATTTTCCGGCCATGAGAATCCGTGAAAGCAAATAATAAAAATCCAGAAGGAGTCAATTGGAATCGGAATCCCTGGTTTGGAGGAGGTGTAGATGTGATTTGAAGAAAGTTTGAGGGTGGTGAAGGGGGGAGACAGGTGCGGAAATGAGAGAAATGGTAGTGGTTTAGAAGAAGAAGAAGAAGAAGAAGAAGAAGAGGGGAGGTGGTTACCTGGTCGTTGATGTGGTGCCGGGGAGAAACGAATCACCCTCCAGAAAGAGCGAGAGAGAAGACTGGAACAAAGGGGAAAAGGGCTTCTAAGACTACCCCCATTGGGGTCTATTTGGCGAGCGCTCACACTATATTAAATAAAAAAAAATGAGTTAATTTGGTGAACTAGGCCGGCATTCCAACCCAAGTTCACAAGAGCTCACACCAATCTACTTTACACGTGTTGAAGCAAGAAACATACACCCATATTTTTTTAGATAACATTATATATTTTAGGATAAAAAACATTATCTACTAAAAATATAATATTATCTCAATCAAAATTTTTTTTTTAAAAATACTAAATTTTTTTTTTCTCTATAAATAGAGTATAATATTGATATACTTCATATCTCATCTCAGCTTTTCATTTCTAAACCCTTTTGATTTCTTTAATAAGATGAATCTAAATTTCGTCTTAAATCTTGATGATTCTCAAGATTATCAAAACTTTCAAAGTTATGAAACCTCACAGTTTTTTGCAAATCCTAATCAATTTCCCATCACTGAAAATGTTCAAACCTCACAAAATACCGGAAAAAATCCAAGAGGTGATAAATGGGATGCTGATGAAGATATCGCTTTAATGTCAGCATATTGTATCGTTAGTGAAAATGAGAGACGTGGAAAAAACCAAAAGAAAACATCAATATGGGCACAAGTGAAGGAGCTATATGATGCAAATCAGGCGGAAAACCCAGGAAAGATTGGTAACAGGAACATAGCTCAAATGAAAGGTCGTTATAAACGACTTAATGAAAGTGCTGGCAAATGGGTTGGTGTTTATCGAGAAGCATATAGAAAAAGAAGAAGTGGAATGAGTATGAAAGATTTTGAGAATGAAGCTCATAAATTGTATGAGACAAGTGGAAGCAAGTTCAATGACACAATTGTTTTTAATGAGGTTATGTGTAAACATCGAAAATGGGATTTACAGCTAGATCATGATGCAACACGATCACGTCCTGAATATGAAGTGGGTGATGAAGAAGAATCTTTTGAATACTCTACTCAACGAATTGGAGATCTATCCCGTTATATGACCAACAGGGCACAAGTTCGCAATAGAGAAGCTCATAACGCTCTAAAAAACGATTTGATTGAGCATATATGGAAAAAATTTAGCACTGAAGAATAATTTAGTAGTTTGCATCTTCTGTATTTGTAACTTATTTTATCTATTTTATTAAGTATGTTTCATGAATGTAAAATATATTTTTTTATTTTTTTTATTTAATTTTACGTTTAAAATAAATAATTTATTTGTTTCAAAATAAAATATTTATTTTTAATATTTCTAGTAGTTTTTAGTAAAAGAAAATTTAAATTAAGTTATATTTTTTAAATAAAAATGGGTTTGGATTGGGTTGCCAATGGGTGTAAAAAATTAGATTGGATTGAGTTGTATAGGTGGAAGAGAGAGAAATTAGTTTTTTATTAGAAAAGTTGGGTTGAGTTGGGTTGCTAATGGGGGTAGTCTAATACCTATGGGGACGACTTGTGGTCCCTATATCCTCAAACAAAACGACACCACTTCCTATTTTCCAATTAAATATCCTAAAAAATATATATGTATTTAATTTTATTTATTTCTAGGACAATATGTCGTCCTTATAAGTTTTACAAAAGAGCGCCAAACATTTTTCATTCCCGCCTTACCTATAGAGGTGATGTGTCGTTACTATAGCTTAAAAAGTCAAATATTATTTATAAACCTTATAGAGACAACATGTCGTCCCTATAGGTCATCTATAGGGACGACTTTTATCATTCCTATAGGTTTCGACACTTTAGATGTTTATTCTTGTAGTGTATAATTTAGATCATACCAGTAGCTTAGTTTGGCCTGATTATTGTAGTTCATTGTAAGTCCCCAATCTGCTTGTATATCAATCAGATCCGTTTGATGGTGCGGAATCCCAATCAAACGGATGATGTCAGATCAAATAGAAGAGAAGGAGAAGAAGAAGATGATGAATCTTGTATGTATTGATATGAATGAAGATCCGGATACAAGATTCACACACACTAACACACACTCTCTTTTCTCTCTCTCTAGAACACCTTCAAATGCACACACTTAAGCTCCTCTAGTCTATGTGTTCATTTCTTCACATGCACTCCTTACCCTATATATATATGGACCTAAGGCCAAGCCCAAAATACAAATAATCCAATGCTCGGTCCAAGCTACAATTAATCCTATACTATTTTGGCCCAAATAATAAAAACAATAAATGCTTAGAAAAGCAAAGTATAAACCATATTTTTGACCCAACAATCTCCCCCTTGGTTTATAGCTTTCTTTTCTTTTCTTAAATGACCCAACAAGCTCCCCCTAAAAAGTAGCTGACTTTTCTTGTTAATCTTCATTGGGAGCTTTGGCTTCAACTTTAATCTTCAAATTCTTCACAACTTCAAGATGAACTTGATGAATCTTCAATGAATGACTTCATCTTGAGCAGTTAGGCTTTTCTTCAGAATTTGACATTGAACGCACATTGGGTGAGGAGGCTTTTTGTACTGATTCTTGAAAGATAATGCTTTCAGTTTGAGAATCTTCAGAGAGAACATCAGAGAGAACAAATCTTCTGGATCACTTCAGCAGGTTCAAGATAGCAGCAGACTGATTGAGGAGGCTTCAATGCAATCTGTCACATATTTTTCAATTTCAGCTTCACCTTGCTTCTGGGGTTGAAAGATTGAATGTCGAAAGAATAATCTTCATTTCTTCCTCCTTCGAATGAGAATTCTTCGATGATCACGGATGAAGCCTTGGCTCAGAAATCTTCGACACAAACTTCCATGAGTTTCATCTTCACCTGAATTTACTTTTCAAGACAAAACAAAACTAAAAGAAAATTTAGCACACAATATTTTTTGGATTTTTCATATTTTCTGAAAAAGAAATAAAACAGAAATAACACTATTTTTGGATTTTTTTTTTAATTTTCTGATTTTTGTTTGGATTTTAAAAATTTTAATTCTCCCCTAATATTTAAATTAGAAGAAAACTATGAATAAATTTAACAAAAATAAAATGATATCTAACTTTAAGAGTGATTTGGGATCAAAGTTTTTAGACAGCCTTTATCCGTTTATCAGTACCTCTCCCTTCATGAATATATCTGGTCAATCGCCGGTATTGTGTTCCACTTAAACACGAGAGATTGTGACAAAATTAGGACATATTAAAAGTGACAAGACAATGTGATCCTAAGGTCCTAGATAATATTCCTTAAGGACCATTAAGCTGACGACGACCAAAGATATTGTTGTCCACCTAAATTGAGCAGCGAGATCTACAGACAACCTAGTGATTGTTCAATTTTAAATGTACTAGAACATGTTTCCCGCTTCCTGACATACCCCAATAATCAGGAACTTACAAAGTACTCCTTACTTTAGGTGAGTAGACAATTATTATGAGAGAAATCAGATTTAGAATGCATATGCTATACACCCAGGTCGGATCCCTTCCAATCACGCAGAGGGTGAAACATATGACTAACCAGATTTAGAGGGATTGAGAAGTAGAATGGTGCATATACTGTGTACCAGGTCGGATTGTGAGTCACGCAAAGGAGACAATATATGGCTAACAGACAGGAAGAATTGCATAGATAGAAGATGAATAGAAATGGAGTTGCATATGTTGCAGTCCAGGTCGGATGTATTTCAATCACGCAGAGGAGGCAACATATGACTAACAGAAGGAAAGCAAGAAAATAATTTTCTATAGACCTACTTTATCGGAATTCCCCAGTCGCCCCATCAATACCGGAATTAAGGACAAAGTCCGTACATCGAGGAAGAGTTAAACCACAGTTCTAGATACGGATAACTTTAATGTGACCGGTGGATTATCATGTATATCTCCCTGCTCAACCTATCTGAGCGTCGTATTGTCAGGCTAAATGGATCTATCTAGGTCAAGATTTTTCAAGTCTCTAGATTCCTTAAGTTCACCAAGCCTAGTCAAGTCCATTTTAATCTTTCGTGCCTACCAGCGCATCGAACACAGAGCCTAGACAATTCAGATTCAGCCCCTTACACAGATTCAGATTGCCTGTTATCACATGATTATATCACTTCCCAAAACATCTCCCTCAAGCACATTCCATAACCAACATATTTTTGGATTTTCTGATTTTCTAATGTTTTTGGATTTTTTAAAATTTTCTATTTTTTGTTTTGTTTTTATTTCTCCCCCTAAATTTATGCATAGGAGAGAAACGAAAGTAAATGCACAAATTTAAACTATCCTAAAACAAAAATTAGTCTTTAAAGCGAATCAGCTTAATAAAAAACTCAGGAGTATAGAGAGGAAAACTCAAACCGTAAGTCACCGATTGAATTTGCATCCAGAAGGTCTGAGAACAATACGCGTAATCTCAGAACAGATCCAAAAATTCTTCACATCGTCAAGCCTCTCCTCTTCCTCCTACTAAAAGACGAAGACTCGACCCTAGACAGGGAATTCCTGATTCTAGTATACTTCAATGTTTTACAGCTCAACCAACAACAACTCCAGTTATCATCTCATCTGAACTTATCAGTGAAGGTCCTAGTACCTTCTTTGAAGCTGGTGGCTCTTCCTTCCCAACGGATTTATCTCCTCCCAGGCCAGACCATGATGCTGCCTCGGTTAAGTTAGCCAGGTTTTTGGCCAGAGAACAACTCACAACGCCTCCCTCACATGGCAAAGGAATTTCTATTGGGGGTGGCAGCTCAGGAGAAGAGAATCCATCACTTCTTGGACTCCAAAAAAAGATCGATGCTCTGAATCAGAAAAATGTTGATTTAGATCAGAGAAATATTGAGCTGGATATCAAGGTCGCAGACCTTCAGACTGAGAATACAAAGCTCAATATTCAAGTGGCCGAACTTATCGAAGACAAAGCTCTGAAGTCGAAGCAAATTACTGACCTTCAGACGCATTTCAGCCTACTGACTGCCAGCTACTACGATTTAAAGAAGAAGCTGGAAGATAAATTTGGCGACGAATTCAAGTCATCCGTTGACGAGCCAAAGATCTATCTTCCCGACCAAGATGCTCCCATAGCTCCACGACCTACAAGAACGACCACCGTTGTTGACCGTTTTGAGAAAGAACCGGCTCAGTCTCCAAGTATAATGGCATTAAAACGCGCTAAATTGGCCAAGTCAGCTGAAAAGGGTCAACTTTTATTCAAAATGAGCTCAGAACATAATGACCCCTGGGATCAACAAAAGATCACCGTTACGGATCTGGGCGAACATCGTTTCAGAGACGTTTATGGTGATAGGTCAGGAATCATCTCGTGGGGATTCCATGACACAATGAATATGTTTATGGTGAGAAGAAAGAGCGGCAACACTGAATTATACAAAGATGTTCACGATTTTCATTCCTTTACTAGGATTGATCTTACGGAGCTGTCTAAAGCTCCTTTCTCAAATCCATCAAACAATCCCAGGGCGACTCAGTTCAAATCATTTTTGGAAGATCAAGTAGCTAAGGGTTTCCCTTCAATGAAGACTGCAGAGTCTATTGTCAAGATTTATCCTAGCGTCATTGATCCTAAAACAAGTCAGCCACTTCGATCAGTGATGTGGCCCGCTACTGCTCAAGTAAAGCAGGTTCCCGTTCTTCAAAATTATCCAGATGGATCTCTCGCATCCATGCAATACTGGGTGTTTGATGAATCTGCTGTTGCTGCTGTCATCAAGCTTAAAGACGATTGTATTCGCTTGTATGACAAGAGGGATCTGCTTCAATTTGGCAAGTGGGACATTCATCAGCTCTCCATTCATCAGATCAAGGTGTCTGAAGACATTTTTGAGCCCGTTGCAAAGGAGTACACTTCGATGGTGGCCGAAATTATCGAGAAGGAGATGTAGAACGGAGCTTTGGGAAAATCCGATGTGCTGGTGGTCGACAAAAGCTGAGTCCAAGCTAGCACCAAACCAAGGGGGAGATTGAAGGGTCCAGTAAATGGTTTGGTCTAGGCTTTCATTGTATTTTGTTCGGCATGAGTCTGTAATACTGTTTATGAGTTGTATATGTGTTTTTGATCATTATGTGTGTTTACAACCGTAAACTGTGTTTACGGCCGTAAACACGTTTACGACCGTAAACCCTGTTTACGGTCCTGTCTAGTATAAATAGTGGAGGTGTAGGTCATTATGTGGTTGTTGATGCCATTGCGTTTACAGAAGTGTTCCATCGATTTGTACCTGACGTTTTTCTGAATATAAACGTGTGCAAACTCGATTTCTTTTCATCTTATTCTTCTTTTGTGATTGTTTGTTGCTTGATCATTGGTAAAGATCCTTTTTAGGACCTTACATTCATCTTCAACAATTATGTATGTAATAGATTATAGATAGATAGATGGATATCTCAAAGACATATGGAAGGTCTTATTTAATTTGCGTGTATGAAGTTTTATTGTCGGTCCTTTTTGTATTTTTGACAAGGGAATGGTTAAACACCCAATTTACTAAATACACATATTTTACTAAACAATACACCCTTAATCAAATCTCATAATTATACTTATTATTATTATTATTATTATTATTATTATTATTATTAAATAATGATTAAAAAACACTTTTTAGTTAAAAATACCTTTGGCAATTGGGATTTTCTAGCATGTACCTAAAGGTATAAATAAAAATTCTTAATTATGAGAAATATTATCATAATTAAATGTGAAATACATTAATTATAGAAATATTTCTCATAATGAGAAATATTTCTATAATTAATGTATTTCACATTAAATTATGGTAATATTTTTCATAAATAATGGTTATTATGTGTCTTTAGACAATCCATTATATTACTAACTATTATAATTGTTAATATCATTTTATCACCGCATCCAACCACTAAGGGGTCGTTTGATAGTTGCTAATTGGGCTAGAGCTGACTGGGTTAGAAGTTCTAACTGGGTTAACTTCTAACTGAAACTTGCTGTTTGATTTTACAGCTGACTGACTGTGCAAACTGACCGTATTACCCTAAAAAAATATTGGTTTTAATAATTCCTTTTATGATTTACAATTTAACAATTCCTTTTATCATTTTTTCCCCATTTTACGTGACCCTATTTTAGATTAAAAAAACAATAAAAGTAGAATTCTATAAAAATGAAAGTAAAACACAGTACATTGCCATAAAAAAAAGTTATTAACACATGGTGAATGGTGACCTTCTATTTAATAAGTAAAAGAAAGAGTCGACAAAGCATAAACCACAAAAGCTAAAACTTGTGAACCTTGAAGGCCTGATTGCAATTTGCCACAATCAACAAGACTGCAAGAAGCTAAAAAATTAATCCAATTTAACAAAGATTAACATTATTTAGAACAACAATATCACATACTTGGCCTCTACAAAGCCTTTCAGACTTCTTAAGTTTTTTCATGGCAAATACACTGCATACCATCTTCTCTCTGCATACTCTAACCTACACAGCGGGGTGACCACAAAACTCTTTCCAAAGATACCGTAATAGAGCAGTTCAATTCTAGAGGAGAAAAACGATTTCAACAGGAATACACTGCATAACATCCAATCGTTTAAATACACTGCATACCATGATACTGCATACACTGCATACCATCCAATCATTAAGTACACAAATTACAATCGAGCAATTTCACAGAGGAGAAAAACAATTTCAACAAGAATCGATTTCATGTTCATAAACTCTAGAGGCTGTGATTTGGATGGAGATGTCAACTTCAATTTCACAAAGAATCGATTTCAATTTCACAGAGGAGAAAAATAATTTCAATTTCAATTTAACAGAGGAGAAAAACCAATTCACAATGGGAGAAAAGAACATACCGGTTTGGAGATCGAGGTGGAATAAGGCGCTAGAGGAGGGCGGCACCTGAGGAAGGGAACGTCGGAGGAGAAAGGGTCTGCTGGAGGAAGAAGCCGTTAGGTGAGGGTATCGCCGAATGGTGTTGGCGTTTGGCAAGTGAAGCAGGAAGAAGAAGGGTGGAGATGGAGAACACAAGGGTACAATGCGTCCCTTTTCCAGTCGGCGATTTTTTTCCAGCGGACCGAATCATCACAAAATTGAGGACCGGGTCCTTCATTTGGACCGAGTCCAAGGGTAGAGAAGGGAAAACAAACAAGCTATTTTGGACTGATGATCGGGTCCTAGATTTGGATCCAGTTAGAAAAGAAATCAAACGCCCCCTAAATCTATGAGATATCCACCATTATATCCATCTTATTTTTTTATTATTAAAATAAAAAATATATATTTTTTAATTAACTAAAATGTAGAGAGAGGTAGAGAAAGAGAGAAATAAAAAGATAAAGAAGATGATCCGGTGTGGTGGTTACTGTTCCCCGCCACCATTAATCATAGACATATCCCACCACTAGCCACCACATACACATACACCTGGGATGGTGACCACTAACCAATCGCAAAGAATAGATTTTCATTCGTATTAGTATTTATTTTCTAAAAACAGTAAAAAAAAACCCTAACACCTGTGTAGGAAAAATTTAAAGGTATGCAATTGAGTCGGGAGGCGTGCAAGGGAATCTGCTGTCCGAATTCAGCAGCTCGAAAAGGCTTTTTCTTGTTCACGTTCATTTAGCTTGTCACGGTCGATGGTAAGGAGTATGTTTTGCTGCCCCTCCTCTGCTTCTTGTTCTTGTGTTTGTTGATGCTCTCCAACTGTTTGTACAAATGCCTGGCCTACATTTTGGTGTTTGGTTCTATAACACTAAAGGTTGGTAATTTAGTGATTTATGTTAATAGATAAGTATGAATGGTACCTTGTATAATATGTACCGGAGTTAAAACGTTTGAGGCAGTATCAGAGCGATGCCCTTTACTGGATTTCACGGTTTAATAACATTTTGAAGAATATTCATGAGCGGGAGGATCAAGAAAATGTTTTTGATGAGTTGATTTGCCTTGAGAAAGATGGATCATTGCTGAAAGTTCAAGGTCTACACCATGCCTATTCGCATGCTTTTTTACTTCAATCATATTAAACATATAGCTGTTACGTTTTTTTTTTCAATATATTTTCATTTTGTTTGCTTCTTTTTCGGATGTAGTTGATGAGTTGCTTCTTGTTGATGTGGAGTTAAAGAAGGCTTGTTGCAGGGTAAAAGCTTGGAAGGTAAAACTTCATACTACGATTATTATCATATATTTTTGTTTAACTCTCACTCTGTTCTTAATGAATCTGCTTGGTGTAAGCTTCTTCTTTTTACACTTGTGCAGGTGCTCCGTAGTAAAATGCCTTTGGAATCTATTCAGCAAGTAATGGATGTGGCCAGCGAGTAAGAATTCCTGGATTAAGGCTTTTAGATATCTTTTTTAGTTGTTAGATATCTATGATTATTAGTAAATATGTGCTCATGTCATTCAGACTGCAAATTGGGAATGAGAAGGTTTCTGATGTACTTGCTCGAGCTGTGTGCTTGGAAGAAAAAGCAAAACATGTTCTTGCTTGTGAGGTTCAGATGTCTGAATACGAGGATGTTTTAAGGTTTGTTACAACTGCAATCTGAATGTGCTGTGGTACAAATGCAAGAGTACTCATTACCAAATATATTTTCAGGATGTCGGAAGATCTTTGTGCACTTGTACCTTCTGTTGATGGTGTCAAGGGAGCTTTGTTGATGGCAAAGTCTTGGTTAATCAAGTCTAAACCATATTTAGTTACTGATCTCTCTGTGATGTCAGACGCAAATTCTTTGCTTAAAGTTGATGACCTGAATAAGGTTTGCACTACATCTTATCTTGTCATGATATGCTTATCTGAGGCATCATGCATGAGTGGTTTCTGAGTCAATACTTTCTTTGATCACATGATACAATTCTGCAGGAGTTGGTTTTGAAATCAAAGTTACTGAAGATGTGTCTGGAAGAGAGATCTTTGCTTGAAGATGTTTTACGGAATTATATAAATGTTCTGCACTGCATGATGCCGAGTCATTGTTGAATATTCTTGATGTCAATCTATCCTATGATATTGTCTTCAAAATTGGAGATCAGATTACTAAGATGGAGTCCATAATGAAGGCTGAGTATTCACTTCGTTTTGACTCCCTTGTGATTCCAAAGCTACAGGAAACTTGTGCAATTCTCCAGTGGTGCTTTATAGCCCTTAATTTCCATGCTGTTGATCCAACTCTCAAGGTGAGTTAAATTTCCACATGCAATGCGATTGCTTCTTTTTTCTCCTAATTGGTGTCATGTTTTTGTTAACCTGTAGGTACGTACCATGTTTCCTAATGATATTATCTAATCTTTTTTTTTTTTTTTTTTTTTTTTTTTAATCATTTTGCAGGAAGTTTTAACGTTATTGGAGGATGCAGAAAAACATCATGTTGCATATGCATCTCGTCCTTTTTGGAGGTCATTGGTCGATGGTATGAATTGGCTTAAGAAAGCCTTAGAGATCCTTGGTCCATGCAATGACATTAAAAGGTTTGATTTGAGTGACGTTAAAGAAACTTTGAGACAATATAAGGTATTAGTTATTATTCTCTCCAGTGTTAATATGCGGTTAGTGCCAGAAACATTATTTATTTTGTTCAAGTTTATAATAAAGAAAAGAGGGCAGAAGAAAGATACGAACATGCTGTTTATCCTTTTTCTTTTTTCTTCCATGTATTTTACTTATGACATTTTTTGATGGCAGATGATTAAGATTTCCTTTTCGTTGATCGTTGACCGATTACTTGATGCTGTGAAGAGGCACAAGTGAGTTTCACCAATCATCCAAATTCTCCTTCAGTCTTTTTGCTGTCTTTAATTTTATTAATTGTTTGGATTTTAATCTAGATATATAAGTTGATGGCTATAGCTAAAGTGTAAGATTTCTTGTAGTTGTATGCAAACCTATAAAATGATTGAAAAAAGTTTATAAAATCAGAAAAGTACTTTTTGTTCTTCTACTATTAGATGGTAATCCGCTTTTTGGTTATTGCAATAGTTCTGATTGCTGGATTTTAAATGGCTCATATTAACCTAGCTAGTACTAGATTTTCATATGATGGGTAGTTTCAACTACAGTTCATGTTGCATACCTTCTTAATATGTCATTAATTTGTGATCTAACAACTCACATTACATTCATAACCCGGCCCCTGGAATAGCTACCTCAAATACTGAGGATCCTTGGCCCATGAAGATTACGCCAGAATTTAATACTAAGGGAATTGTTTATCCCCTAAATATATATAAGGGTTTAACCAAACAAGTAGGGTAGTCAGAAATTTATGGATTGAGATTATTATTCGTTTTCTCTAGGCTTTGGATTGGAAGACTAGAGAAGCTTTGTGTTTGTCATTAGTTAATTTAATTCAATAAACTTGTTTGGTTCCTATTAAATAAATACTTATACTTGGTGGAACCAATTTAACTAGAATTGACATTGGGGGATTGATAGACAAAGGAGATACTAATTACATAATGTCATATTTAATTTCTTGTGCTCTTCATTGCATTTCTTCTTCTGGAATACAAATGAAATGAGGCACAATGTGACCAAGCATTGCCATCTCCGCTTGAGCCCCATATCTTAACACTTGAGTAATAAATTAACCATTATTATTAATTTGAAAGAATCAATAAGAATGCGAACGTGGCAAAAGAAAAGGTTTGACTTGTCACATTATATGTTGGTAGGCATATTAAATGAGAATACTAATTGTCATATATATATACTGTTAACATTTATAATTAATTAATTAATTATAAATTCTTATTAATCCAGTGGTAATTATCTTTTTCAAGCAACATTTTGGCTTTGTGCTGTGCAGTGTATGGGTGGAGGAAGTGAAATCTTTTTTCAACTGCAGCAGTGGAGATCGTTCATGGTCTTTGTTACTGCAGCTTGAGGTGATGTTTATAGAGAACCAGTACTTGTTTTAGCCTTTTAGGGTTGGTATATAATATCTGTACATTTACTGAACCAATGCATGCAGAGGGAGTTGGAAGCACTGATGCTTTCAGTTGTACGGAGATGGAGATGGTTGCATCTCAAGTACAAAAGGTGAAAGAGTGGAAGCAGAGAGGAATGGACATTGTTGGGGTTAAAGCTGGAGAGGCTACTCAATGCTCTATCTCAGGTACATATGTTAAATAATGTTATGATGTGGATAAATAAACTCTTATAGATGTTTGGTTTGGACATCATAATGAGCTTAACACAGTACCATATTAACCTTCTCCATCATCTTATATTTATATATATATATATATATTTTCCTTTTTTGTGCAGATATTAGATAGTCTAGACAGATCTTTAGAGGTGACTGATGGCTGCAACCAAAAGCAAACAAGGTTTTGTATGTTCTGCTCATGTGAGTCTGGGAATCAGGAACTCTCAACTTGTTCAGTGTGCATGGAATGGTAAGCTCTCATGTTTCGTGCTTCAACAATTCAAACCAGCATCATTTTCCTTCCTAATATTAAGTATATTTTGTAGTGTTAAAATCATACTTGGTGTTATTAATTATTATGTTGCATGCAATGCATAAAACCAAGTTTAGGAGGTGGTACACCTCAAACTCAAAGTCATGCATCAGCTCACATGTGTCCCCATTGCCACATCATCGAGAGCGGAAAAATCTCTCAGCTGGTATGATTCAGTTACTTTGATTAAAGAAAGTTTTGAAATTATTATATATTTTGATTTGATTGATTTTTTGCATTTGGTTTTCAGAAAATTGATGCAAAACGTCCGGAGTTGGATATGTTTGTGAAGCTTCTATCAGATGCTGATAACCTATGTGTGGAGTAAGAGAGCATGAGTATGAGTATGACTGCTTAAACAACAGATTCATTCATTCATTCATTGGTGTTTGCTTTGCTTTGTAGGATTGAGGAAAAGGTTTTAATTGGTGAAATCAAATCGTTGAGAAAGCTGTGGCATACAAAGATTGTAGAATTTTCCTTGGCTTCTCTAGGCAATGACCCAAGTGTTGTTTTTTCTAAACTGTCCACTGCTTTAAAGGTAACTTATATAAAATCCGGGTTTCAGTTGTTATTATTATTTTTTTTTGTAAGGTTTTTATGTGTAATGTTTTTGTGCAGGCAGTAGAGGTGGCTGATGGTGAAAGTAATAGCAAATTTGAGTTTGCATTAGCAAGAAATTCATGGAGATCAGTTCGAGCATCTAAATTATTACAACCCTCCTCCTCCTCCTCCTCACAAAACACCAGATCCGCCGCCTACTAAAAGAGGTATTACTACTACTACTACTACTACTACTAGTAGTCATTTCTTGATTTTGTTATTTTTTCTATCTGTATATTTGGAATTTGGATATAAGAATATGATTTTGGTTTGGTTGCAGGGTGTGGCTATAAATGTCGTTCCTTTGGAAGATTATTTGTGGAAGAGACTTACGGAAATAAAGGAAATTGGTTTGCAGTGGGCGTTGAAGGCCAAAGAGGTTTCTGCTGATTCTGGTGCACTTGATCGAATTGCATAAAGTTTTTGAATTAATAGATAAAGGCGAGAATTTGGCTGTGCACTTTGACAACGAGCTCAAGGTAAATACCTCCCTCCCTCAGTAATTACATTTAACATGCTTCTTATATTATTAGTATTATATGGTGTCTTGAATTAATTCTCTCCTTCCAAAACATACATAATTTCCTTAAATAAATTTTAAAATATTGGTGGTGTGGTGCAGTTATTACGAGAACGCAGTATGCTTTACTGCATCTGTAGGAAGCCGTATGATCGGATACCAATGATTTGTTGTGATAAATGTGAAGAATGGTATCACTTCAAGTGCATCAACTTATCATGGGTACCAAAGGATTACATTTGCCCTGCATGCAAGATCGATCTACTCGATGAGATTGAGATTGAGATTGAGATTGAGATTGAGATTGAGGAGGATAATAGATGTATGGGTACCTCATCATCAATAATCCAACAAGACAGGCAGCTCTCTCTCTCTCTCATTTATTTGTAAAAAGTAAGCACCATTTCAGATGCTTTGACTTTGACAGGTCAAATGTTAAACTGAAATGTGAAGAAGAGCTTCAGACCCCGTCTCCAAGACCAGTGGAGTTGAGAAGGGAGGCAGAGAGCAAGGACTTTAGTAGCAGGCGACGCAGTGGAATCGAACGCTTGTTATGGAGAAACAGAAAGCCTTTTACAAGATCAGCTAAAAAACATTTTTTCTTCATTTTTTCATGTACATTCTTAATAATTAATTAATATAATTACTCCTAGTCACAACCATAGTCTTCTCTTCTTGTTGATCCACTTAAATTGGGAAATTTTTTCATTTAATTTATTCCCAGTTTTCTCATCTCATCTGTCTTATTAGTTTGGGTCTACTGTTGGACCTTTTTGATTTGTTTGTATTGTTGTACCACTACCAACTGCTAATAACTAGTTCCAGATTGCATCAACGCCAAACGTATTTACTATTTATACACTTTTTATTTCTCATGTTTGCTTGCATAAATAAATTCTGCTTTTGTATAATAACTATTATATTACTTGTACAAAACCCTAAACTAAAATACTTCTAATCTATTTCTTAATATGTATATCTTTTTTCTTAATAATATTATCTATCAACACTTGTATAAACGTAAAAGCACTATCTTAGTTTATATTATTCCAACAAATCAAAAATAAACGCCCAAACGCCAAATAAATAAACATGTTAGAATCAAGACTTCCCCTATCTTAGATTGTTTTTTGTAATTGCTCGAGCTTCTCGCTTGAGTTTGTTGTTTGTTTCTTTGCTAATATATTAAAAAAAAAGTTAGAATCAAGACAGATATAAGATTAAAATCGCAAATAACACCATAAGATAGTTTTCTAACGAGTGAATAAAATGATTGTAATTTTAAATTTTGTATATTTTAAAAATAAACAAATTAACTTACTTGAAATCGAACTAAAGAAGTAAAAAACTAAAAAAGTAACGAAGCCGAATTCGGGCAAGCCGGGCGAAACAAGTCTTGGATTTACGTTGTATCTTATACTAGTTATATAAATAAAATGTCTTATTATAGACACACCAATTGATTATACTATATTTCATTTTAGATCTACTTTTTTCATCTATTTTCCTAATAATGAGTAAAAAACAACTTTTAGTCAAATGCCATTATTAATTAAGTAATGATTACACTTTACTTTTAATTAATAATATAATATAAATAAATAATTATTTTTAAAAAAATCTAATTATATTTTTCTTAAAACTATTATATAACCAGGTATGAAACCCGTATATTATACGGGTTTAGAAAAAAAAAAGTTTAATATAAAATTATAAGCATTATATATTTTTAAAATAATAAGTTTATATAAATACATAGAATATAATAAATAAAGTAAGGAATTTAATATATAATGTAAGATATTTGAAAGATTGTAGAACATTTATTATGAAATTTAAAAGAATGATCTACTTTATATATATAAATCTCACTAAAATACGGATTTTAAATTTAAAAAAAATGAAAAATACAAGAAAATGACAAGTGGAAAAAAAAATAATTCAAAAACTTTTAGAAAATGACATATGACAAAATCAATGAGAACACGATATTTGGCAAAAATGATTTTCATTTATTAGGTTAGATAAATATGACCTAAATAAAATCTTAATCATGTCCTTTAAAGTATGATATGGCAGGAAATTTTATAAATATTTAAATTTGATTAAAATTTTATTTTTATATGTTTCAATTTAAAAGATAAACAAAATAAAAAGAAATGTAGATATATAATAAGGTAAAAATAATGTTATTTTACAAAAAAAAAAAAAAACGGATAGCATCTACGGTAATGGAAATTAGGATGTCTATTTGTATTAATTAGTTCGATAGGATTAATTGTATTTAAAATCGTACTGTATGTATGACATAATTATTTTATAAATTTATTGTTATTTAGCTTATTAAAAAAGTTTAAAACGAAACGTTTATATAATAATAAGGTTAATATAATATGATTCAACGAACCGCTAATAAATATGATATATTTAATGTCTGTCTAGACTGGTGTGTAGAGAAATTAGAATGAAGTGTAGAGAATAACTCATAAATAAAATATTTTTTAAATGATAAATTCAAGGGTAACTTGATTTTAAACTTCAAGGCACAAAATCAAAACTTTAAAATTATTTCCATTGGTGATCTTTTTTCTAATTGGTCTTAAAAAATAAATAAAAAGAAAATGTCCGACTAAAGAGGGGTGGCTTTGGTGCAACAAACATAATCGTGTACACTGTACATATAGTAATATATGTCATTGATGTAGATTTTCAATTGCTTTTATTTTTTTCTTTTCTTAAATAAACTTATAAATATTTAATTAGGCTTTATTTCTTTAAAAATAAAAATAAAACATAGAAAAAAGTTTCTAATTTTTTCTCTACAGATAAAGACTAATATTCTATATTTTTGTATAGTTTTAATTATTTTATAATAATAAAAACTTGAATTGGTTCGGATTGTTAAAGGAATCGATAAAAATTATTTGTTTTGATTATCTATATAGATGAAATAGAAAATATATCTTAATGAATGGTTGGGTTGAACCGTTGAACATAATACCAATGAATTCAAAAATGAAAAAAATCCTACATTTTATTCAAAATATGAGTAATAAAACAACATTTAAAAAGTATTATACATTGATATAAAAGTATTTTATAAAACATAGTTGAATGAAAGGTCATATATTTTATAGGCCCAAATTAATTAGGGCATTTTATTTTCTTCAGGTGTTATACTTGTTAATTATTAGGTCCACGTCGTATCTATTTCTCGGTGAAAAGTGAAAACTCTGTGTATCATGTCGCAAATGATATTATCATGTAAAATCAAATAATCGAGATTTTTCTATTCAAAAAATAAAATTTGGGACTAAAGTGAAACTTTTCCTAAAATATTGAGACTTTTCTGACAATTTTCCTGTTTTTTTATACTAAGTATTGAACAGTTTGGAAAAATTCTTTCAAATATTTTGCTTATAAAACTTAAAATACCCGATATAATAACCAATATAATAAGTATAAAATTACAAATTACAAACTACAGATAAACAATTAAGTTAAAGTTTTTTTAAACAAAATATTATAAAGATAAATAATAAAATTTTAGTGTAATGATTTAAGTTTTAAAAGGATGGAATCACAAAATTTAATGGAGTTGACTTTGATAAAAAGAAATATGTACACGCTATTTAGCAACACCTATTAATGGAAATAATTATTTAGGTCTCGTATGATAGTTTCTGTCTGGGAAAGGGCTGTTTGGTAAAGTGTTGTCTGGGAAAGTTTTCTGATTGGGAAAGAAACCATGTTGTTTGATTGTACATCTGATTGACTGTGCTGAATGATGAAAAATGACCCGGTTTATGTCCGATAGTGGTGGGATGGATGAATTTTTTTTTTTTAAATAAATTAGGATGGTGGTGGTGGTGTCCAAAAAAAAAGAATTAATCCAATAAAAATGAATTAAAAAAAATTAACTAAAAGAAATTAATAATCCAATAAAGTAGTATTTATTAATATATAAATATTATATATTATAAATAATATTTATGAATATAAAATAATCCAATAAAAAGAATTAATCCATAAAAAAGAAATATAAAAAAAAAATTATTTAAAAGAAATTAATAATCCAATAAAATAATATTTATTAATACATAAATATTATATATTAAAATGATATTTCTTAATATTAAATAATACATTAAAAAAGTAATAATTCAATAAAAACTAAATTTAAAAAAAATTATTTAAAAAAATTAATAATCCAAGAAAGAAAGAGGCGGGGTTTGGTGCATAATTGTCTTTCCAGCCCATTTAGCCAGAAAGATATAATTTTAGGGCTTTCTGGGAAAGACATATCTTACCGGGAAAGACCCTTTATTTGTGCACATCAAACAGTCTTTCCGGTACATTCAGTCAGAAAGATCTGTTTGGACCTGAAAAAATACGTATCAAACGGGGCCTTAGATTAGGGTTTATTGAGTAAATAACAACACCCTTTAAAATTACCCTTTTCTATTAAGTTGTATGAGATAGTTTTTTGTTACAACCGTCCAATCACGTGTTTGTCATTTACCCCTTTCTTAAAGTGTGCGTGCCTTGTAACAGACTACAGACTGCTATCATACGCTCTGTACTATAAATAGATATCTGGTAGTAGTGATACATACTACTTTTGTACCTACCATGGCTCAGAGTTACACCATCTACGTTCTGTATCAACGCAAGGTGAACATGGAAGTGCTAGCTCCTGAGAGCTTCAAACTCAAGCTAAAATGTCGCTGTGATGGATTGGTGAGCTTCGGTGTGAATCGAGATAAAAGAGAATAAGTTTGATCATGTAAATTTATGTTTTCAATATTCAGGCAAGCTTCGATTTCAATATATATTACCAGAAAGGAAATGAGACATGAATCATTGAATTGATTAGAATGAGTTCATTAGCTATTGGTAATCTCCTTTGTATGTTTGATAGATGTGATTTTCAATATTTATCGCAGTGCTCTTCATGCAAACAAACCTGTAAGATGGATGTTAACTTCAAAGAGGATCCTGTGCCCGGATCTGTTGGGGAGATACTGATTAACGGTGAATTTGAGTTGACAAAAAGAACTCTACTGGATTCTGCAATTCAGTGGAGGTGCAAATTAAGCTTATCGGATTGCTGGTCCAGTTTCACTCAAAACAACTGCAGCAGGATGTTGGAATATTCGGTTTAACAAGATCATCAACGAGAAGGAAGCAATCGATAAGCCCTACGTCGATCCAGAGTATTGGAAGGATGTAGGTTTTAAGCCTTACTACGTACCAGAAGAACCAGATGAAGTGTTCCTCGTTGAGGAGGGAGAAGAAATTGAGGAATCATGGATTACTGGATTGCACCTGTACTTCTTCTGAGCTTTCATTAAAAGGAGAAGGAGGTCTAGTACTATGCTACCTAAATAATCTGCATTCTATTTCCTCTGTTGTAAAAGAAGGTATTCTCTCCCTTATCCTTTTAATTTTGAGAACTTTTGATGATATGATTGATGATAGATAAATCTCAGAACTTGATTAATGAATGATTGATAATAGGAAATATGATTGATGTTAATTTGATCGATGATAAAATCGCAAAGTAGCCTTGTGTTCTTCCTAATTCTTCCAAACGTCAATTCAATTTCAATAGCCGCGATTATTAAATTATCTAAAAACATTTCCACTTCTTATCCACCTGCGCTTTTGGTCCCATGAGAGATGATAAATTGAGGTGATGGTGACTAGGGCTAGAGCTTGAATAAAATGTGCACAATACCTTAACAAAATAAAGCATTATATGATATGATGTCGCTAAAATGAGAGAAATACGACGTCCTTTAGCAACTTAATTAGTTTGTTTTGACTAAATATGCAGCGAAAGATGGTTGCTAGTTACATTTTAGAATATGTAATAATGTCATGCTTCTTTGTTGAACACGACTCTTTGTATGGGAAACAACAAGACTTTTATTAAGACACTTAAGAAGACCTTACACTTTGTGAGACTACTACACACTTTGCTCTCTTTGAGGCTTTCTTGGATGGTTTGGAGCAAATGAGCTCCACACCTATTTATAGGCCTCTTAGGAAGGTTCTAGAAACTAGTATACACTTACTACATACTAGATAACTCTAGAACTATCTAACATACTCTATATGCTTCCATATGTTTCTAGAATATTCTACCATGTTCTGGAGAGGTCTAGGTTGCTCCAGTGTCTTCTAGAATGATCCATAACCTTCCAGGGTCTTCCATGTCGTTCTAGAGTATTCTAGACTCTTCCGGTATATTCCGGAGTCTTCCATAGTCTTCCATAATGTTCTAGAATCTTCTAGAGCGTTCTAGAACAAGCTAAAGTCTTCTAGATAATATTTGTTCTATTGGGCTAGTGATGATCTTTAACACTCCCCCTCAGCACTAGCCCTCATTCTTCGTACCATGTTAAGCTGACAACGAAAACCTTCACATTTTCCAATACTCAGTCCTTTGGTGAACAAGTCTGCTATTTGGTCATCGGTCTTGATCTGTCGCATCTCAATTTCTTCCATCAAGACTTTCTCTCTGATAAAGTGATAATGCACTTCCACATGCTTTGTTCTAGCATGAAATACTGGATTTTTTGCCAGCCGAATTGCAGATTGGTTATCGCAGTGAAGTGGTACCGCATAGTCAACTTTTTGATGTAAGTCCTCCATTAGGAGTACCAACCATGTACTTTCTTAAGCTGCTACGGCCGCTTCTTTGTACTCCGCTTCTGTGGTTGACAATGATACAGTTGGTTGTCTTTTACTACACCATGATATTGGCCCCGACCCAAGCTTGAACACATACCCAGTGGTTGATCTTCGAGTATCATGGTCTCCTGCATAGTCAGCATCACAATATCCAACCAACTTGCAGTCTTCTCCTCTTTTATACAAGAGACCATAGTCAATTGTACCTTTGACATATCTCAAGATCCGTCGGGCAGCATCCAAATGAGGTTTCTTCGGACTTTGCATGTATCGACTCATAACTCCAACTGCATAAGCAATGTCAGGCCGAGATAAAGTTAGGTAGATAAGACTACCTACTAGTTGTCGATACATCGTTCCATCGTCCAACTCTTTTCCTTCATGAGCACATATCTTGGCATTTGGCTCTATTAGTGTTGATACTGGCTTACACTCCAACATGCCAAACTTTTGAAGTATATCTCTTGTATACTTTTGTTGGCAGAGGAACAACCCTTCCTTTGTACGATCAACTTCTAACCCCAAGAAGTGTTTAAGCTCCCCCAACTCTTTCATTTGGAATTGCACCGATAAATTTTCTCTTGTTTGATGGATTTCTCTTTCGTCATCCCCGGTGATGATCAAGTCATCCACATAAACCAACACAATTGCCAACTTCCCTTCTTTTTCTTTGACGAACAGGCTTGAGTCTGCATGTGCAACTGAATAACCACTTCGGGTAAGAAATTCAGCAATCTTACCATACCAGGCTCTTGGTGCCTACTTCAATCCGTAAAGAGCTTTTCTCAGCTTGCACACATGAGTGGGATTAACTGCATCCTCAAATCCCTTTGGTTGGTTCATGTAGATCTCCCGATCTAATTCTCCATGCAAGAAAGCATTATTCACATCCATCTGCCATAATTTCCAGTCTTTACTAGCTGCAAGAGCTAGCAGCACCCGTACAATAGTTATCTTCGCCACTTGACTAAATGTTTCATCATAGTCCAGTCCATATTGTTGTGAGAACCCTCGAGCCACCAAACGAGCCTTGTATCTTTCAATTGATCCATCTGTGCGTCGCTTTAATTTATAAACCCACTTGCAGGAAATGGGTTTTATATCTCTTGGTCTTGGTACCAGTTCCCACGTTTGATTCTGCTTTAAGGTTGTAACTTCTTCTTCCATTGCCTTCTGCCAAGCTTTATTCTTATTTGCTTCTTCATATGTCTCCGGCTCTTTAACACCGTCTTCTAAAATGGTCGCATTAGCATACTTGGAATTAGGCTTTCGGATTATTTCCGTCCTTCGAAGTTGTGGAGGCGGCGTCTCCCTTTCACCGGCATCACTTGTTTGAGTTACTTCTTGCTCAATGACATCAGTGTCGATCAGATCTTCAGGTGTATCAACACTTGACCAAATGTGTGCAGTTTGCTCCCCCATCTTTTGTTTTAAAACTTCTTCAATATTTTCCGAGTCTGGTAATACTTTCTTCTCTGAGGACCACCATGAAGATGCTTCATCGAACACTACATCTCTTGAAGTGTAGCATCTTCCGCTTGTTGGATCACAACACCTCCATCCTTTTCTTTGATTGTCATATCCAACAAATATACACCTGACTGCTTTCTTGTCAAACTTGCTACGTAAATGACTAGGTACAAATACGTAGCAGACGCAACCAAATACTCGGAAGTAGCTAACAGTAGGTTTCATGTTCCATAGTGTCTCAAATGGTGAGATGAAACCTAACCTTGGTTGGGGAAGTTTATTGATCACATGGGCAGCAGTTCGCATTGCTTCAGCCCAAAATCTTCCTGGGACATTCTTCGCGTGTAGCATGCTTTGACAAATTTCTGCAAGATGTCGATTCTTTCTCTCAGCTACACCATTTTGTTGAGGTGTGTTGGCACATGTGAATTGATGACGTATACCACATTCTTTTAGATAGCGATTGAATTCTTCCGAGGTGTATTCTCCTCCATTGTCTGAGCGTAGACACCGAATCTTCTTTCTCACTTCTCCTTCGACCGTTGTCTTGAATTCTAGAAACTTTGAGAATGTTTTAGATTTTTCTTTCATGAAGAAAACCCACACATATCTCGAATAATCATCAATGAACGTCACCATGTACCGCATCCCGCTAACTCATGTCTGCTTGACTGGACCAAAAACATATGAGTGAATTAACTCTAGTGGCTTCTTTGCTCTAAATTTTGACTCCTTGTATGGTAATTGATGAGCCTTACCATACTGACATCTAGCACAAACAACATCTGTTTTAACTTCAAGTTGAGGTAAGCCATTGAGCATGGATTTCTCCATTATTACCTATCACTTGTGATAACCAACATGTCCCAGCCGTGCATGCCATAGATCTGCTGTCTCGTTCTTACGAGTCTTGTCTACATAGGCAGACTCTGCGGAGAGCACATAGACTGTAACGCCCGTAGATCCGGGATAGTCAATTTAGAGACAATGATCATCAAAAATGAGTTTTTGATGGAAGATTATTTAGAAGGAGTAATCTTAACCAAGTGGTAGTATATGTTCCAAGGGTTCCGTACATATAAAGAACGCAAAAATCCGAGTTATAACGAAGAAGTTATGGCTCGTCGAAGTTTCGCTGCAAAACCGGCACGACACCGGGAGACGTAAATAGTGAATTTACGATAGAGGACTTTTTAGCCTTAGTGATCTAAACAAAATTTGTAGTATATGTTAAACCGAGAACATACAAAAGAAGAACGCCCAAATCTGACTTCGTATGAGGAAGTTATGATTTTCTAAGATTTGGCATAGCAGTGCACGACCCGAAACTCGAATTTTAGTTCGAGCGGTTTTTAGCTTACGCAACCTTAATGAGAGTTTAATATCTCATTAATAGGAACTCAACGGTAAAAAGACAGACGAAAAACGGAGTCCGTATGAAGGAGTTACGAATTCTTCGTGGTCATTTAACAGTCCAAACTCATCCTACTGTTAAATTTAAGATCGGTCGAGAATTAGCCGATGAAGTCTAAATGAAAGTTGTAGATCTTGTTTTTACCTACACGTGGAAAAAAAAAGAACGTCGAAAACGGAGCTCGTATGCGAAAGTTACGGGGTTTAGAAGTCGGCAGGGTGCTGCTGCAAAAGGGGTGACGTGGTTGATTATGGGCCAAGGCTTTCTCCCCAAGGCAAGCCCACAGAAGGTGACATGTGGCATGGACTCAACGAGTAGGAGGACCTACTCGACGAGTAGAGCTGTTTTCCAGCCTATAAATAGAGGTGTCGGGTTCCCTCATTCTTCACACATTTCCAAACCATTCTTTCTCTCTCTACACACTCTCTCTCTAGCCCCCAAACCCCCCCTAAAGTCTAGGTAAACCCCCTAGCACCTGAAGGAAGCCCCGAGGCTCCCGGAGTCCCGAGAAAAGAGCCTTTCGGCTCAGAAACGCTGCTCCAGCGAAGCCCGGTTTTGAGAAAAACCCGCTGTAAGTGCGCTACGCCTAACCTATCTTTAGTATAGCTTATGTTTTAATATAGTAATGTTATTAGGACCTTATAATAATTATTTGGGCTATTATTATGAGTTATATAGTGTTGTTTAACGCTTATATAATAATAATAATAGCTAGACTATTAATTAGTCTCGGTGAATATTGAGCTAAACCCTAGTGGTA